CGGGTCTGAACAAGATCGATCTGACTTTCTGTGAGGACTGCATCCTAGGCAAACAAAAGAAGGTGAGCTTCAACAAGACCGGACCGGCTCCAAAACTGCAGAAATTGGAGTTGGTGCACACCGACGTGTGGGGACCTGCGCAAGTCCCATCTGTTGGTAACTCTCTTTACTTTGTCACTTTTATTGATGATGCTACGAGAAAATTGTGGGTGTTCTTCTTGAAGCACAAGTCAGATGTATTCATCATCTTCAAGAAGTGGCTTGCCTGTGTGGAGAACGAAACAGGCAATAAGCTGAAGTGCCTAAAGTCTGATAATGGAGGCGAGTATTGCAGCCAGGAGTTCGAGAACTTCTGCTCGTCCCGTGGGATTCGGAGACTGAAGACCGTCCCAGGCACACCTCAGCACAACGGAGTGGCGGAGCGCATGAATCGTACTATCTTGGAGCGCGCCAGAAGCATGAGGATCCATTCCGGATTGCCCAAGAGCTTTTGGGCTGAAGCTGTCAATACTGCTGCATACTTGATCAACCGCGGGCCATCCGCGGCTCTCAGTTATGGGATATCTGAAGAGGCTTGGACCGAAAAGAAGCTGAAACTAGAGCATTTACGAGTATTTGGTTGTGACGCCTATGTCATGACCAATCCTGCAGACCGATCAAAGCTTGATCTAAAGTCAAAGAAGCTCTCTTTCATCGGCTATGGAGGAGATGAGTATGGGTACCGTTTCTGGGATCACGATGCGCGCAAGGTGGTGCGCAGTCGTGACGTCGTATTCCATGAGAATGCGGTGTACAAGACCAAAGAGGTGAGTGGGAGTCAGCTATCTCCCCCTCTTTTCCCAGATATTGCTGACACTGAGGACGGCGGTGAGATACCAATCAGCATAGAAGATGGAGACCAAGAGAACGTGCGGGATGCACAGCAGCAGGATCCAGCAGAGTTGCCGATCGCAATTCGCAAAGCTCCAAGAAATCCAAGGGTGCCAGAGAGGTACCTTTCCACCATGAATTACCTTCTCCTGACTGACAATGGTGAGTCAGAGAGCTATGAGGAGGTACAGCAGACTGGCAAAGCTCGGGGCGAGTGGGAGTCTGCTATGGAGGAAGAAATGAAGTCCTTGATGAAGAATGGGACTTGGGAGCTCGTAAAGCTTCCACGAGGGCGAAAGGCTCTTCACAATCGGTGGATTTATCGGGTCAAGGATGAAGCCGATGGACGGAGACGCTACAAGGCGAGACTTGTAGTATTCCTTCATGGAGATTTGGAGGAGGAAATCTATATGCATCAACCAGTGGGCTTCGAGGAACGAGGCAGGGAGGGCCTCGTGTGTCGCCTGCGCAAGAGTTTGTATGGCCTGAAGCAAGCTCCGCGACAGTGGTACATGAAGTTCGAGAACTTTATGGAGGAGAACGCTTCATGGAGATTTGGAGGAGGAGATCTATATGCATCAACCAGTGGGCTTCGAGGAGCGAGGCAAGGAGGGCCTCGTGTGTCGCCTGCGCAAGAGTTTGTATGGCCTGAAGCAAGCTCCGCGACAGTGGTACATGAAGTTCGAGAACTTTATGGAGGAGAACGGTTTTCTCAAATGCGACACAGACCACTGCTGCTTTATCAAGAGATATAACGAATCCTATGTAATACTCTTCTTTATGGAGGAGAACGGTTTTCTCAAATGTGACACAGACCACTGCTGCTTCATCAAGAGATATGACGAATCCTATGTAATACTCTTGATTTATGTTGATGACATGTTGATTGCAGGGCCCGACTTGGCCCGCATTGAGGAACTCAAGGGGCGTCTCTCCGAGTGCTTCGAGATGAAGGATCTGGGTCCAGCAAACCAGATTCTGGGGATGAGGATCATCAGAGACAGATCAGCACGGAGGCTGAGGTTGTCTCAGAAGGCCTACATTGAGAAGATTCTTGAAAAGTTTGGCATGGAGAAAGCTAAACCGGTGGGCTCGCCGTTTGCAAGTCATTTCAAGCTATCGAAGACCCAAGCACCAGAGACTGCTGAAGAGCACGAGTTCATGGCAAACATACCATATGCATCTGTCGTCGGGAGTTTGATGTATGCGATGGTGTGCACGAGGCCAGATATTGCACAAGGAGTGGGAGTTGTGAGCCGCTTTATGAGCAATCCAGGGAAACAACACTGGGGTGCGGTCAAGTGGCTTCTACGCTACTTGAGAAGCTCGTCCGACTGTTGTCTTGAGTATGGCGGGGCAGATTTGCAGCTAGAGGGCTTTTGTGATGCAGACTATGCCGGGGATATAGACTCGAGAAGGAGTACGAGCGGCTACATCTTCATCTTGGGTGGTGGAGCGATAAGTTGGAGATCCAAGTTACAAGATACTGTGGCTTTGTTGACAACCGAAGCCGAGTACGTGTCTGCAACAGAGGCAGCAAAGGAGTTGCTATGGTTGAAGGCTTTTCTTCTCGAGCTTGGAGTAAGCTTTGAGAAATACTTCATCCACTGCGACAGTCAGAGTGCCATTCACTTGTCAGAGAACGACGCATTCCATGCTCGGACCAAGCATGTTGACGTGAAGCACCATGCCATACGGAGATGGCAAAGCAGGAACGAGTTCAAGCTTGTGAAGATTGATACGAGGTATAATCCAGCTGATATGCTGACCAAGGAGGTACAATCCAGCCGACATGCTGACCAAGCCAGTTCCGCTCGAGAAGGTGAGGCTGTGTGCAGCCTCATATGGCCTCCGTTGAGAATGTTGAGGGCCGTGCAAGACGCCAAAGATACATGACATCCGGATGATGCAACCAAGAGTGGTGTGAAGATATGATCGACATTCAATCAAATCTTCAAGTGGGAGATTGTCAGGCGCCCAACCTTTTTGACCCAGCCAACAAGAAAATTGGAAAAGTATGCGGGCCCCACAAGAAGAAAAATCAAATTCGGTGGCAGCCATTGTTGAGAATTTATAAAGAATGTGGGTCCCACAAATATTTTATTATTAGTGGCGGGTCCCACAGATAATATTATATTTGTGCATAGTGTTTTCTCAAACACTATAAATAGGGCGCTAAACTCTTAAGGAAATCTCATCCCAGAAACAACTCCTCTTATAGAAGAGTAAGAGAAAACAAAGAGAGAGTTTGTGAGAGTTCTTAGAGTGTATCTGATCAAGAGAGTGTTCTCTTTGATCAATTCTTTTGGGATATAAAAGAATTTGGCGTCGTCGTTGCACCGTGGAGTAGCTCCGAAGGAGTGAACCACGTATATCTGTGAGTACTCTGTGTTGAATTTTGTGCCTTTATTTTGTGATTAAGTCTCCGTTCGAGGCTTTATTATTGGGTTGAATCCTAACACCAAGGAACAGAGAGGAAACAAAATATTTACACAATGGTGTATCAGTCAATGATACTTGCAAAAGTACTTACATCTTTGTCGGTGCATTAACCCTAGTTTGTTTTGACAAAAAGTGGGCATAATGATATTACCAATTAAGTTGTAAGAAATTCATGTGCGAGTCATCATAAAGATTTAGAAAGAGTATTGAGTTCAAATAGAAGTTTGTTCCTCACCTAAAAAGTTAAACTTTAGGGTTAATTTTGTTGTCGACCTATGTTTAAAGGCTTATTCATGCTGTACAGTTGGTAATATCTGTAGTAAGTTTTAACTTCATTTACGAGTTTCCAAATGTTCGTGGTCCTGAAGTATTTCAGTAGTCAAGTCATTTGAATGGAATCTTTTTGCATAGGGTTAATTATGGATACCCCGCTATACTATGGCTCAATTGCGGCTAGACCCCTGTAGTCTATTATTGCAGATAGACCCGTTAGTGAATTTTTTTATTACTTTTTTACCATCAGGTCTCTTTGTTAAGAGACTCGCTCTGTGGGTAAAAGAGTCAAAAGAAAATCACTAGGGGTCTGTTTGTAGCAATAGAACTATGGCGGGCCTATCTGCAGTTAACCCTTTTGCATATACCAAGACTTTTAGCTTACTAGTCCTTGAGCACATGCAGTGCACGTGGTTTTATTTTTAATTTTTATGTTCTTATTATAAAATATAAGCCAGATTCATTTTGAGTTAAAATCTATAAACATGGATTATTATATTTACCATAAATTTTATTTAAATATTTTTTAAAAATTTATGAAATAGATGATTAATTTTAAAAATCTCTTAGGTGCAGGAATAAACAACTAACAAGTTTGTAGTGGAAGATAGGAGAACGTAGTACATTCTTAAGAATTATTAATCTTTACTTAGTTTGTTTATAAAAATAGGATCTCATTATTAGCTAATTACAATGCGTAATATATTTTTTTGTTGGACGTTCAAGGCAGGTAGAGGACTCATGTGAGTCCTCATCGCAATGAATGTTATACAATTTAAGTACAAAAAAAAAGGATTGATCAATGGTGTAGTTGGTGAGGGAAAACTCCAGCAGCTTAATTTGGTATGTGGATATATAATAGATGGAGATGGAGAATGATAGTTTTGAAAATAGTGGGTCTGTGGGTGCGTGTGAGTAATTAATATGATTTTTGTTTGTGTGGTTTTCTTCGTTCATTTTCAAGATATCTGTGATCCTGTGGATATATATAGTTATATTATTGTTGTTCTGTTTTGGTTTTGTGAAAGAGTTTGGGTGTTAAAAAATTAAATTATCTAATCCGGTTAAAGTAGGATTATATAAGTTAAGCCCATACATGAAATTTATTTTAACTAACACCCATGTGAAAATATTACAATTGTCATTGAGATCTAAGATATGTGTGAGATTCTCTTTGATTTTTATACAAACAGTATCTATTTAAATAATAATAGTATAATTAAACTTTGTAATCTGAAATAAAGATCAAACATACAATATAAGTAATTGTTTTAAAATAATTTAATCTAATCTAATAAGAAGAAAATAGATGAAAGTTCAGTAAAAAATTTTATATGAAAAAAATCAAATATACAATATAATTAATTGCTTTAAAATAATCTAATCTAATCTAATAAGAAGAAAATAACAAAGGCATATACATGTAGAATGAGATAAAAGTGCTACGGAATTTGTTGTAGTTTCTTGGCTTATAAACATTGGTATGTGATGTTGCATGTGAGAGGATAACAATTGTAAATAGAGTTCTATTTAAATAATAAAAGTATAATTAAACTTTGAAACTAATTATGCAGTACTGTGAATTACTTGAATTTTAGTTGGCGAGAGATTGCCACGTTGTGTCCTCATATCGCAGCTGTTTGTTTTAATTTTTATTTTTTATAATTTTCAAAATGATTTTGTTTCTTTAATTTGTTTGGTGGATTTTGCAAATACCCGGTCCACATTATGTACATTTGTAGGTCTGTGTTGTTTTGGTGTTCGATCTCTGGGGCGAACATTATTTGTCTTACTAATTTGTTTGGTTTTTTGCATATACACCATTCATCTTGTATACATTTGTAAATTTGGCATTTAATAATTTCATTCAGATTTACATTTCAATTTAAACTATATCCTTATCTTCATATTATGTGTATCCAATAAGAATTTATCAATTTATCAACTTACTCTTACTTAATAGATTAATATTTAAAATTTAAGGGTGTTTTTGTCTAACAAAAGATTTTCCCGAACTCGTACTTTTAAAGGGAGTATGATTTACATCTACCATGGAAAACCGCAGATGGGATCAAACTACAAAGCTGCACTTATCCCACATAGGATCAGAGAAACAATGCATGGATGGGGCAAAGCAGCAAGAAGAAGAAGAAAACACCGCCGTTCAGTTGACGATTCAACGACAATACGTACAGAAACAAGCACGGTTTGCTCTCTAGAAGAAGGCGATCAAGAATTATTCGATAATCCTAATGAAAATCCTTACGTACTCATTGAGTTACAGACTACAGCTAACACTACTGCAACTACTACTGCTGCTACGACCCCGTTAATTAGTGAGCACACTGCAGCCAGCGTGCGCATACCTCTTCTTCAATCATCGGTTTCTGTTCCCTCGTCTCCGTCTCTTTCAGCTCGAGGAAATGGGATTTCGAGATCATATTCAATGCCTGCTTGGGGAGGTTGAAATTTTTTCTGCATTGGTTGGATCTAACCAATTGGTTGAATACACAGTTTTTTTTTTCTTTTTTTGTGTATATGAAGGCATATGCTACTAAAATGGGAGCAAAATTGTTAATATTTGTGCTATTGTGTGTGAACAATGAACATACTCTTGAGGATTAAATAAAATGATTGACAGGCTATAGTCTCTGGTTATCATATTCAGAATACCAATCTCTAATGCCTAAAAATGCAAGTACGAGGTTAAAAGCCTGTAAATGCTTTTATATAATATCTGGGTTACCTTGATATTAGTCCCTCGTATCGACAATAATTCCATGTTAATCCCTCAAATCTGTGATATTGCCAAGGAGTCCCTCAAATCCCAAGGGTGTTAAGGGGGGAAAAGTAAAGAAAAGAAACCTGAGTACTTTGGTCATTGGGGTACCAATTTTCTAGACACCTTAGGATATGAGGGATATGTAAGCAATTTCAATAAAATGAGGGACTAATATGGAATTATGAATGGTTTTCAAACAGCAGTATGCAATAACTGAAATTTGTGCAAAATGCATATAGGTACTTGTTTCCTGCCTATATTTTCCTTGTTTAGAAATGCTTCAATTTTATACAATCCATTTATGGTTTCTGAGCTTATTAAGGAACATCATTGATGTAAATAGCCTGTGATGAATGAAGAAGAGGCACATCAAGCTTGTATATATTCTCTTAGCTATTGCACTATGTGGATGTGAGGAGGAGAAAAAACCAACAAGAAGACGAAGCTTGACCTTCCTTTCTCCTGTTCTTCGTTCGCAAGCTCTTCACCATGACCAAGAGCTTTGAGGATTTGATGAAGGAGCGAGCGAGAAAGCAGGCAAGGAAGGAGATGAAGATGAAGTTGAAGGAGAATGCGAAGGATTTGGGCAGTCTTCTGATGAAAGGGATGAAGAAGGGTGCAAAGGTTTTGACGAAGCAATGCAAGAAAGGATGGAAGAAGGCTAAGAAGCTTCGTATAGTTTCGAAGGAATAAGTTTCGATTGCATGTGTTCGTTTAAGCATTCTGTGCAACCTCAAGGTCTTCCTTTTCTTCATGTCTCTGAGAGAACTACTAAGTGGATCATGTTTACTGTAAGACTGCGTCTAGGGGACAAAAGCTCTTGGATCGGTATATTCATTTGAAAACTCAGATCACCAATTATCGAATAAATATGCATCTTTGCGTAGTTCCTTCTTCCTCTCTCTGACTTGTATTAATGTGATAGTTTGTCTGTTTTAATTGATATGCATTGGAAACAGATTGGAAATGTGAATAAATTATAATAGTGGAAATTATAATTTGTACTTCCTTACAGCTGTTTCTATAGCTTTTATGGTAATAGGAGTACCATTTTCATTGCCTGGTGCTTGTAATCAAGGCTTGAACACAGTTTTGTTACTAGTTGGTGCTATATCTGGGATGCTGAAACTCTCATTTGTCGACAAACTTGGGTATAGACTTGTATTGTCTAATAATATCGAGAAGTTTTTTTTGATGATAATCGCAAGTACGCTCCTCGAATCCTTACTTTTGTGTGAATCAGGAGACCAAATGACATAGAAACGCTTCAGCAAAACTAAATTGAGAGAGCCATAACCATGGCTCAAAAGTTTAGTACTAGCTTAATAACCAAAGAATCTTCATTTATGAGTAACATCTTCAAAGATTAATAGAAGTCCAAAGGTACTATGCACACATTTTCGGATTTTCCTTGATACATAGAACTTGACCAATACAAGGGGGATTAGAAAAGCTCGAAATGTTTGATGTGAAGAAATTTCTCTGGTTAAGGCAAAAGTCCGAACGCAAGAAATGAGCATGGAATCCTTAAACAGCAAAGATCCTCGATTGCAGCTCTGAATCCTTTTAAGGCAAGGATTCAGCTGCCGACCCAGTTTGGCTTTCTCCAAAAGAACCGCAACAGCTGAAACTTGAAATGCACAAACCTAATACATTCATCAGCAACCTAAGCTAGCATTCAATGAAACGACATAAAAACGGCAGGAAAACCCTCATCATCTTTGATTGCTCCCATTGTGCCAGTTTGAAGCATCATCAACAGCTAATATGCATTTCATACAACAAAAAGATGGAGAACTTTCAATCCATTTGTGTTCAGCTACACAAACAACAGAAATGAATTACCCCTGACCTAACCCTCCCAAAATCACGAGTAATCATACAACGATATGCTCTTATCGTCCGACACACTCGCCAGTCTCCCGGCCCGAATTCCGGTCCCACCAGGCGGCCGGAAAGCCACCCCCCAAACCTGATCAGTATGATTCGTCATCGTCTGCATTGAAGCTCTCATGCCAACATCCCACAGCCTCACTGTCCGATCACTGGACCCAGTCGCCACTGCAGCACCATCAGGGCTCGCGTCGATGCTCAGCACCCAGCTCACGTGCCCAGACATTGCGCCCACCAAGCTCTTCCCTTCGGCATCGTACAAGTGTACATGCGTGTCATCGCAAGCTGTGAAGAGGATGCGTGGGTCCACTGGGGAATAGACCATGGATCGGACTGGCATGTAGTGGCCTTCAAGGTGGTGGAGGAACTTGGAGCGGGGGACGTCAAAGACTGCGATTGTGCCGTCCATTGAGCCGCAGGCGAGGCGTTTGCCATCAGGGCTCCAGGCAACGGAGAGGACAAACTTGCCACTGGCGGAGCGGTCAGAGGGTTTGGTTGGTTCAGGGCGAGGGACAGCGAGGGTGGAGACTAGTTGCCATGATGAGGTGTCCCAGAGTTTGACTGAGGCGCTGCCGCCACCAGCTACAGCTAAAAGGGTGCCCTGAAGAAAAAGAATGAATTTGTGTACTTGGGTTGGTACTAGTAAAGAGCTTACTCTGCATAAAAATGATAATATAGATATTTTGCAGGCAAAAGCTTATCTGCTAACGGTAATTAGCAACAAAGCACAAAATATGACATGCTTAAACCAAAGATGGTAAATAGGAATCAATAAGTTTAATAATGAAAACTAATTAGAGCAAAAGCTGATAGAAAATTTAGAGGAGAAAAGTCAAGGGTCTGGGTTAGTGAAGACAACCCTTCTAATGGATATTTAAATGTGAAATACATTACTTAAGAGAGAGAAGATAAAATAAAGCAACTATTTTGTGTTTTCCTTTTAAATCAGTGTACTTGCAACCTGTCTTTATGCCAGGAAAACTAGTGAATGTTACATAATTTTTGAGCTGGAGAATATAACATGAGAACATAGTGATATGTGCACAGAAAACTCGTCATGATGGATATTAGACTAGGACTAATGTCTCTGAGGCTCCTTGCAAGAATAAACAAAGTTAAAACTTGAATTATCTACAATAGGATCAGTTGCAGAAGTCAAAAACAACAAGTTCATCTGATTTCTTAAATTTTAGAGATGCCAAATTCTCTATGTCAGAATGCAAGAGATACACGCGCAGTTGCCCTAAGCAAAGTTTCCTTTTATCTCTACCTGAATAGCTCTAAAGGAAAGGAGATCTTACATGCCAACAGTGGTTGCCAAAATCTGAAGGGGGAAAGAAATTGGCGAAGCTAGCATTCATCTTGTGCCTAGGGAACAGCTAGTTGCAATTTCTTGCCTTGCAGGGAAACTGATAGCATTGGGTGCTTATTTAAAGAGCTACATTATCTTGATTATCACTTGACAATTCTGTCGTCTTTATCCTTTGCGGTGTTGTGGTGGTGGTGGTGGGGTGGGGTTGTGGGGTATTAAAAAGCCATCTTGCAATTGGATAGCCTTCTAGTGAGTAAACTATGATTACACATACAAAATGATGAACCCTTTCCACTCTAAACCATGCAGAGCTGAACAACTAAATCTCCAAAATTGAATAGAAGTTGCAGTGCTATCAATAAGAAGTGGACATCTTAGGACTGAATAAAATTAAAGTAAGGAATTACTTCTAAACGGGCTTCAGGTGCCTTGCATATGGGTTCATGTTTGTAAATACATACAAGTATCATGAGTCTCACTTTTCATCTTAGGGTGTATTTGGAAAACACCCAAAAACTGGGCCAGAGTGATCTTGGCCCAGTTTAAACTAAACTGGTTTTATTTTGGTCCAGGGGAGGTGGACCAAAACAAAATTATTTAAGGGCTAATTTCTGCCTTAGAAAATTTGAGCCAGCAATGGTCCAGTTTTATCCAAACACAATATTTCTCAAAATGGGACCAGGACCAACTTGACCCCATTTTAAGAAGTTGCCAAGTATGTAGTATTCGACTTTTCATCAAATTTCATTAAGACCATGATGGAAATGCTTCTGAGTACATGGGTTATCTGGTGCATGCAACCTTTGTGAGAAAAGCACCCTGCTTTCTGAAAATGGCACAGCTTGGAGGAGTTCTAACATCACCTCGAAATCTGACTTAAAACTTCTATTTCCATGGGCTTCATGTTTAAAAACATTGATGAGACAGTCTTTGAAAATGCTCCCCCCTCACAAGTTTACTGTGCTAACAACAAACAAGCTCACAATCACAATGCTTATAAGCTTATATCCATTAAACCCTTCTTATGATCATTTTACATCATACTAGACTAATAAAATTATTATGTGATACACATCAAGGCCCACTCTTCAAGTTCCACATTGATATGATGCTATTTTGGGCATAATTTCCTATTGTGCCAGATAGGGAAAAATTGCAAGCAAGACACTTAGTAACTTGGGCTGCTCGGAAGCCCAAATATATTCGAGCCGCCGATCACTCAGCTCAATCCGGTTCTGGAATCTCTGGTTGACGGGTATTTAAAGGGGAGGAAAAAAAACCTAAGTTTTCTCTCTGATGGAAAATCTGCGCCGATCTTTTCTCTCCATTTCATTTATTCCATAGTTCATACTCCTTTCGGTAGGGTTTCCTTCAATTGGCAGGTTTTGGTACTCCTTCGTTTTTCTTCAGTTCTGATCTATTCCCGATAAAGGTAAGATCCATGGATGATAGTGTCCCTTCATGACTACATTCTTAGAATTTCTTGTCTAGCTACTCATAGATCTACATAATCTTTGTACAATGTAATTGATGGATGCATGGGATCTATGGACCTATGCTTGTATTAAACAGGTGAAATGGATCTAAGTTCTTGATGGAGTTCACACTATCTACTTCCATTTTCTCAGTCACGTCCGATTATGTAAAGAAAATTCGTAATCTTTGTAACTGAAGCTTGAGCCCGGTAATCTTTTACTTTATTTTTTTATCTTTTACTTTTGGTTGTAAAGACGAGGGGAAAACATTTCCCTTGGTCTTCTGTACCCGTGTCCATTGTTTTAAATATCCCCGACATGGCCCGATATATCATCTGATATATCCTTTTACAAGGTTTGCCGCAACCGATATGATCTCTAAATATCCTTCACCGCTCTTTGGCTATTTTGGGCGATATACCCCCGATATGGCCAATATATTGGCCGATATGTGGACCGATATATCTTTTTATATGGTTTGTCACAAAACAACATACCGTGATTAGCAATTTTTGGGCGAGATATTATGATTTTTTCCTATTATATCAAATGACATTTATCCCTAATAAACCAGATTAAATGTTGCACCATTGACTTGTACTTTTGTTTGTTTTACAAGGTTGAATAGTGATCCTAAACATATTATTTACATTTGATATGCTTAGATTTCATTAAGTATGTTCAAATTACATTTTAGTGCATTATACTATATACGCAAATATCCGTTATGGCATTCCGATATTAACCACATATCCCCGATATTTCTCCGATATCTGCAATCCGATATAAATTTTGGTCATCTGATATTTTCCCGATATCCAATATTTAAAACCTTGCCCGTGTCTGATATCAGTGAGCATCACTATGAGTAAAAGGTTTCACCCTCTTAATACATAGTAATCTTAGAAGATCTTCATATTCCCTTATGAGACCTAACTTTCTCTCATTAACTGGTTCAACAAAAGCAGTTCTCACAAATGTTTCATGAATAACAAAGAACCAATAGCTTCAATAATTCGATATTCCTATTTGAGGCAGAATCTTTTTTGAATATTATGCCCTTCAGCCAATAATCTTCACTCCTCAATCAATCTCTCCATTTTCTACGTAGCAAAGTTCCCGCCTTTTTCTACTTTTCCAATTTAGGAGATAAAACTTAAACATCATTCCTCGTCTCTTGAAAGTTTATAATGCTTAACTCAAAATTGCCACTTCTAAACTATCAGAAAACCCTAGAAAAATCAAAATAAACCAAAGAATCCAAGAACCCTCACCTTGGGATCAAACTGCATGTTCCAAACCTCCGACGGCGGCGCCTCGAGCGTCGCAATCGTAGAATTGGACTCCACATCGAAAACCCTAATGAAACTATCAAGCGACGCCGAGGCGGCCAAGGCTCCGGCGGGATGAGCGGCGACGCAATCGTACGGTCTCGTCGAGAGATCCTGTCAAGAGAAGAGAAGGGCGATCGTTGGTGGCGGGAATCCATGACACTGCCCATATCGATTCGTCGTGGGCGTTCTCGATCGATTTCAGGCCTGCGAGCTTCATTGATTTTTAGAATAGGGTTTGGATTTTGGAGAAGGAGAAAGAGAGCAGAGGTGTAGAAAGCTAGGGTTTTTACTTTAAAAATTGCTGTTTTGTATATAAGCCCCTTCATGCATTTAAATTTACACGGATCATTTTCACTTTAATAAATAATAAAGGGTTATTTAGATATTTGTCTCTCAAATGAATCTTCCACAATTACATATTAGTCCCTCATATCTTACTACTCATTAGTTCCTAAAATCTACAGGACTATTGCAATAGTGTAGTTTGGCAATTATAATAATATAGGTAGATATAGTATTATAATTTCATGATTATGTAAACAAAATGAGCAGGTATCAATATTTTCCTCATCGGAATTCGAAAAATCATATGAACAAATAAGATATGAACTAAAAAGGTTGGATTGAGAGGAAAAGAGAAAAGATTAATGTATAATAAAAAATTAGCTACCAATCACTGATTATATCAAGATATATATAGCCAAAAACTCTAATAAGATATTGAGTGCCCAATTTGATATGATATTGTTTGATGGTACTAAGAAAAAGAAGAGAAAGTAATTCATAAAACTATTGTGATAGAATACTCACATTTATAAGCTCAATTAAGTCGCACTATTCAAATGAGATTTTCATGTGAAGCTAACAATATTAGTACTCCCATTTGAGCATAAAAGGACGCATAAACAAGGATAAGCGAGGACAAAAAATTCTAAGCAGCGATGAGATAAAAGTATACGTATCACTGAGTTTATGCAATATATATTTTACATTTTGTTCTCTTCATCAAAGTTGAACAATAAAAATTTTGTTTCTAGCATTATTTTAGTAAATTTTCACATGCTTAATTACTAAATATAGTAAGATATTGGAGATAACCAACATTAATCATATAATAAGTATATCTATTGGGCTACGCTAAGATGAAGTACCAGATCGTTACCAATGGTTCGAGCGCACAGACCGTACTGACGAACACATCGCTGGTGAACATACTTCGCTTGGGTTCAAGGAGTCGTGTAATGGTCGAAACTATAATATATGGTCGAAATTATATTATATATTATGTGACAAAAACTTCTTCTTCTATTCTATTTATTTCTATATATAAACAAAATTACATGAATACCCATAATATTAACAATGACACTTTAAATGATAAGTATAAATTGGAGGGTATTTTTTGAAGAAAATTTTTAATATCCTTTACACTTTTAGAATAATATGATATGTTGATATGATATGACATTACGTTATATTATATCATATTATTATTATTATTGTTATTATTAACAACATTATTGGTATTTGTGATGATTAAGTGGGAATTGGTAAGTATTATTTACTAGGAAATTAGTGGTGATCGGTGTTTAATGTATGTATGTGTGTTCATGTATGTATGTGAATTATCATGAACATAAACAAAATCATATGAATACCCATATCATAAAAAATAACACTTTAAATTAGAAATATAAATTGGAGGATATTTTTGGAAGAAAAGTTTTAACATCCTTCACACTTTTAGGGGCTGTTTGGTTCACCTATTTTATGAAAAAGTTTTGAGAAAACACCTCACAATGGCGTTATCGTATATAATAGATTTCTGTAGATTTCTATAAACAGTGTTTAGTTCCAAAAAATTATAGAAATATTTTCTATAAAGTAGGGAAAAGTGTCATATTTTATAAAAAAAACAACTTCCTCTCTAAATGGGCGGAAATTGTAAGGAAATCTGATGCATATATTAAAAAATTAATTAAGTACACCAGTACCATTCCCATGTTATTTCCCATGGGCATTGATAGTAAGAAATTTTCTATAAAGTGATATCCAACCAAACAAAAGAAAAAGAAAAAACACATTTTCTATAAAGTTAGGAACTTTTTCATACTTTGAACCAAACAAAGAAATAACAATAAACAAGAAATATGATACTCTTTGAGTTCTATATATTTTTCCTACAAATTTTATAGAAATACAAGGAAATCAAAATTTGAGTAATTTTCTTTTTCCTTTTTTTTTTATAGAAATTGAACCAAATAGCCCCTTGGAATAAACCTAGTATAGCGTAGGTGTGTTGCATGTAGATACACTTGTTGATCTTTTTCTTGGGAATTTTTTGTTGCTCTAGCTTTTAGAGAGAAAAGAAATGATTTTAAATAATTATGAACATATAAGACAAAATTTATTTTATTCTCTGGATTATCAAAAATATAATATATCCAGAATGTTTTTAAAAGGTATTCTGGTTTTGTAAATTTTGTCTTAGCCCAAAGCATTTGAAATATTGAATTTAAGTTAAACATTTGAAGTAAAGAAATGATTGACAAATGGTAATTTTAAGTCTACTTATTTCACTTTAACTGTGTGTGAACACTCGAAACTTAATCTTACTGTAAAAAAAAAAAAATATGAGCATCTTCTTAGTATGACCAAAGCTTGCAAGGAATATTGGCAGCACATATGATACGCTGAGTATTCGTAGATACGTTAGAACAAAGTTTGCTGCAATTTGAAGATCGAAGCTATTAAAAATATATATGGAAAAGAATAAGCAATTGATCTTTTTCTATAGATTCCATAACGAAATTCTGTATTTACAATAAAAAGCATATAAGCTGATGAGTTGTGCAGATTGGTGCGGACGTTGACGAGCATGGAGGAGGCATCGATCTCACACACGGCTTGAAGGACGGTGGCAAGGCATTATAACCTCACATGCGTACCGCTTGAAGGATGGCGGCAATAATGGCTAAACCGGTCATGCCCGATGACACCAACTATATATGAGAGCTTGCATGAAAGAAAGAAAATCAATGAGCAAGTGTTGGATTGAGATTTGAATGTACTAATTACCTATAGGATATTGGCTTGATAGGTGATGTATTGGGGGAATGGATGTTTTAATTTACTAGTATCGTGTACGTGCAACGATGTTTTAATTTACTAGTATCGTGTAAGTGCGTTGCACGTAGGCACACTTGTTGATCAATTTTTGGAATTCTTTTGGTTCTATTAGGTTAGAAAGTGAATAGTTATACGTAGGCACACTTGTTGATCAATTTTTGGAATTCTTTTGGTTCTATTAGGTTAGAAAGTGAATAGTTATTAAGATATTATAGTAATTAATAAAGAATTAATATTTATTCAATGAAATGAGACTTAATGCATAAAGATTAGATGGGTATATTTGTAGGAGGTTATGAATAAGTTATTTTTATCAAAAACAATCACTCTCTGCATAGAAAATTAGCTTACACATGTTTCTACTATAAAGTATAAACAACATGTAAAGTAAGAAGATCAAGTACATTTACATGAGAGAGAGGGATGCCATTTGGAAATTATCTTTCTAGAAATTATTAAACCTCTTCTAGTTTATTATTAGCTCTTAGAGTCCCCCAATTTATATTTGATACTTGCAATTTATATCTCTAAAATTGTATTTCAAGGATACTAAGTGCTAGTATATTGAGGAGGATTTAGTGCAACTCAAGATATAGAATAGGGAAGTATGTATAATTTTCCCTATTTGTTATAATAATGCAATTTGCAGATGATTAATGGAGAAATGGTTAACCCTTCATGAATGAGTTCCTTATTGAAGGGGTGTTAAGAAGACAGTGGAATAATGAAAAGTTAACGACTTTTCATATTACTGTAATGTTATCTTATATATTTATTTATTTGAATTGATAAATAAATAACTTTTTACTCATATTATATTTGATAAGTGCACATATTTAATAATTCATATAAATATTATATATTAATGTGATATCAATATATGTTATAATTATCATACATGAACTATTATACTCAAATAGTAGATTAATGGCAGAAAATTAATAATTAATAGCAGAAAATTCATAATACTCTTAAAATTGTAGTAGTAATCCATTCTATAAGCATCCTCAGGACCAACTAACTATATCATTTTCTAAATTGATCTTCCTACACTTTCTATTTGTCCTTTATAACCCAATAATATTAATGCATTATCTTATTTACCATAGAATGAAAATTAAACCTTTACACATATAGAATAAAAGCAATTACAATTATAATGCATTGTCATGGACAAAGCTTTCTTTATCCCGAGAATAAGCATAATGCATTAAGAGATTCAACCAAACTATACAAACAATTTAGCATATTTACAAACATGCCTAGGAGTTGGAAACCAATTTACATGTAAGGCAAAAACATATATGCATATTTTGATAAAATACAAGACCGCCTTCTTTGTCACCTTCACCGGTTTTTTCTCTACTCTCTAAATTGTTACACTGATGTTTCCATTACTATCTCCTCAATCAATTCGATTTGTACTCCACCAGTGATGTTACCATTGACACACTCACACTTCTTGCAGTTTGTAAGTGTTGTAGTTATGTCTCCTTACTTTTCAATATGAATAAATTTTGATTAAAAGTTAGAATTTTGGTTAGAGAAACTTGATAAGATTCTATAGTGATTTATGAAAGATGAATAGTTGTAACGTTTTTCATTATTAGTGTGTAATGTCAAGACTTAGTGGGGAATGTTATTAGTGGGTGGTTAAATGAAAATTTGATGCTAATAAATAGGGAGGTTATGAAAAATTAAGTATGTATATATCTTAATGTATGCATGTATGGATGTGCTAGAGATATATGCATGTATGTGTTACGGATGGTGTTTTTGGAAGAAATGTTTTAATATGGCAACACACTTTTATAATAGTATTAGATAGATTGTATAGAGACGAAAGGAAGGTTATGTAGAGGAAAAATAAAATTGATTCATTATGATTAATTAGTTTAAATGAAGATAGAGTTTTTACATCAAAACCACATTTACTTTTACCCAATTTAAACTTACAATCTTTAAGGTTTTTTTTATGTAAACCACATTTACTTGCTAACATGTTTGCAAGGTCGCACTTTTTTGTACTGTTCACTGATGAAAAATTAGATATTCTCATTTTACCCACATCTTCTTCATTCTAACCCCTAATCAATAACCCTAGCCTCCTCCATCCTCCTCTTCTACAAACCCTAACCCTAACC